GGCAGAGGGGGCTGGGGGGCCGCACCTGCGGCTCCGGGCACTGCCGGGGGACCCGCGCTATCCGCTCCTGCGGGGGTGCGCGCATCCCTCCCCACCTGGGTGTCTCCACCTGTGTGCGTGGATCTGCATCCCCTGCAGCCGGGGACAAGTGTGTTCCCCACYCGTATGTGTGGGTCTGCATCATCCCCGACCCACGGGCACACGAGCACCCCACACCTGCGGGKATTTTCACACCTGTACGCACCCCGTGTATCCCTGTGTGAATGCCCGCACATCTCCTGTTTCTTGTCTGTGCCTGGGTGCACATCCCGGCCCCTCGGAGCGGAGAGAATGCATATTAAACACGCTCTCAACGACAGCACACTCGCACCTCATGCGATGGAACACATCTCACACCTGCCTGCACACACCCCTTTATGCCAATGCACCCCCTCAATTCCACACCTCACACCTGTACGGACACACCCAGGCACACCGTCCTGCACACACCCCACGAACCTCCCTCCTCCTGCACCCCCTGGGGCACACAAAGACACACACGCACTCGGGTGTGCTCACACTTGCACCCCTATTCACTGGGGGTGCAATAGGGCTCCCCACTCGTGCCGTCCATGCGTGCACAGTGCCAGCAGCGTGCGGCAGCGGCGTTGTCCCCCMGCACGGCTCCGTGTGGCACTCGCACGGCTCCCTGGCAGGACACCCCAACCCTCCYCACTCGCCCGTGGCGTTGGCAGCCGAGCGGTGCCGCCCCACTCGTGCCAGCGGCGCTGCCCCCACAACGCTGCCCCACTCGTGCCAGCGACAGCGGCTGCAGCTCGGAGCGAACTGGCTGCGAATGAGCCACAGACGGAGGCGATGGCAGAGCTTTGGGAGCGCGGTGGCACAGCCGGCACAGCCCTGGCCAGCTGCCTGTGCACCCAGCTAGCGCTGAATGGATAAATTAACCTGGCCCTGCGCTGCGCCCCAGAGGGTTATTAATTACATTTACTTCTAGGTATTGAAGAAAGAGCCTGAATGAGAGCCATGTGCTCAAAAAGGCAGGGAAACTTCTTGCGCACTCAACTGCTCACGTTGCCAAACCATGGAAGAAATCACCCTGTCCTTCTTCTGGAACCCTCAGAGGGACTCTAARTCACAGAATTTATTTTACCCGACTCCCCCCACCCTGATTAGTGAGTTTAAACCCAGAGAGTGCCACCTCCATCAATCTTCAGCACACATYCTGGATCACCTCCCTCCTTGATCTCAACAGAACAGAAAGTGGTGGTGTCCCATCACCTCAGGTGGGTGTCCAAGCCCTTAGAAGTTTGAGGATAGACTTTCAAAACTTGCCATGATGAGGGAGAGCTGGGAACGTCACAGGGGGTGGCACTGCCTACTGCTAGGGGCTGAAGAGTTGAGGTTGCAGGAGCAGACCCCTCCCCAGTGCTGGGGGCTGTGATCAGAGGCGGGGCAGCCACGGCAGTGCAGCCAGGCTGGGGACAGTCGGGGTCAGTGCCCCTGAGAGGCGAGAAGCGAGGGGGATAAATCGCATCACACCGCTGAGCTGCGGCCAAAGTGCACGGTCACAGGGTRCCTGGAGAGGCTGAGTGCGAGAGGAGCAGAGGGTCTGTCCCGGAGCTGAGGGGAGAAGGATCTTCCGCCACCCCTAAAGTAAAGGGATTTTGTCATCCTCCACCCGCTGCAGCCCAAACGTGGCACCGTGCAGGCGGCGGTGGCCAGGACCAGCCCGTCCATGCTGCCATCTAATGGCAGCAATGGCAGGACACCGGGRAGGGCTCGCATCGCCACGGCGGGGAATTTTCCATCACAAACACAGSGCGACTGTGGGACCGATGGGACCTTTCCATTGTTGCCGCCCTGGGAAACAAAAGGATCTTATTTTAAAATCTTGTCCCCATTCCAGCACGTGGGGGGACCCRAGGAAGCAAAGGCTTCCCCAAAGCACTGGATAAAGACACAGACAGGTCACAGAATGCTGCCAAGGCAGGAGCTGCTGGACACTGCCCATCCCCAGCACGAGTATGGGAAAGGGACACTGGGGTGGCTCTGGGAACACCCAGGGACAAAGCAACAAGGAAAATGCAGACTGGCCCTGGGGGAAGACGGTGAGAGGCAGCCCTGGCAGGTGCAGAGTCGGGATGCTGGGGTGAGGGGTGCTTTGCTCCCACAGTGCCACTCTCCCATCCCCATCCCCTCCTGCCTGAACCCAGGCCAGGCTCAGGTAGTCACTGCATTCATGCCTGTGGTTCCTACTCCACGGAGCTCTGGTTTGCCAGAAAAAAGCGTTTTCAGGCAGCATTCAGTGGCAGATTGCATTTCCTCAAGGGGCTAACGCAGCACACACGGCAGCCCAGAGCAGCGTTTTCCCTGCATGTTGGAGGTGCTGTGCCACCCCAGCTCTGCCCCACCGGCAGAGCCATTACACCCCAAAATATAGCTCTGCATGGGAGCAGTGCGCCACGGCCACCGCTCACAGCCCGGCAGGAGAAGGAAGGACGCGCTTCCACAGGAGCCTGCACAGCCCCGCGGYTCGGGACAAGCGGGTTTGGCCGCTCTCCAGCTCTGCCTCGGGCATGGGGAGGCTGAGGGAGGTGGCAGCAGTGGCGGTGGCACTCGCTGGCAGCCCGAGCGGCACACGGAGCCGGCACACGGAGGATGATGCAGCCTGGCTGCGCTCTCCCTGCCGGTGCTGGCGGAGCCGCTTCCCCTCACACCTCGGGGCGCTGCCGGCTGCTGCCCAGCCCTGCCTGTCTGCAGTTCGGGCGGGCTGGGAGCTGATGGGTTTCAGCTTTCCYCATCGCAGTGATCAAACCAGCCTCGCCTTTCMAGGCTCCCAGCCCTTGTAGSRGTAACACAGCCCTGCTCGCAGCACYAGTTCCAAGCSAACAGCTCTTTCTTCTCCACTCTTATTTCAGCTGAGGCTGTGGGGCAGCGAGAGGAGGCAGTGAGAGCTGGGAGAGGAAGCCGAGTCCAGCTCATGGGCTCAGCACTCACTGGCCAAAGGCCAACTGGGGCCAGGAGGGAGCACAAACCCCCAGCATTGCCCCCACACCCGACCCCTGAGCAAGGCTCCCTGACCCTTGGGAGCAGCCCCAGGCTAGTCGGGGCTCCTGCACAGGGCACATCTGCCCGAGCCCTGCACGGGGCACCCTCTGCTCTGGCTTCCCCTGCCCTGCACAGGCATTGGGCACCCCCAGCCCTGGCACTGCAGCAGTGGTGCACAGGAAGGGGAACAGGGCCCCTGTGCCACCCCTGCTGGGCAGGCAGATGGCCAGTAAAGGACTTGTTTTGCCAAGTGTCCCTGTGCCCAGCTGTGGGAGGTGGAAAACCTCACACCTGGCACTACAACACTGCAGCAAGTGTCTGACTSCAGCCAGCACTGGCAGCGACACAGGATTAGRGAAGCTTTGGCCTCTGCTTTGACCYTGGAATGGATTTGGGTGGGATAAAYATGACATTTCCACCCACCCTAGGCACTGCCAACCTCCCTCTCACCCATCACTTCCATAGCCAGGCTTGGACCCATCCCAGCACCTCTGCTGACTTGTGAGGCAGAGATTCTGCCAGCACCTCCTGGGCACAAACCACAGCAGCCAAAGCCCCTTGAGTTGCCCCCACAAGGACCCCTGCCTGCCCTCCTGCAGGGGTAGCGCTGCCAGCACGGCCATGGGGGACTGACAGGAAAAAAGCCACGGCAGGACTGTCTGAATTTGGCAAGAAATGGGACTTGGCATTTTTCACATGTAGAAATCCTAAAGAGCCAGCCAGACCAGACTGCCAAAGATAAAAACCCCATAGCCCAAGACCAGGGCTAGGCAGAGAAGACTTCTCTCCCTTGTTCTCAAACAGCAGATGGTGAAAAGCCACTGTGAGGGGTGCAGGGAGTGCTCCAAGGAACTATGTGGGAGCAGTCGCTCTTTTGAGCCTCCTGTGCTGCAGGCACAGAAGAATCAGGGCTGGAGAAGGGGTCGGGGGGGCTGCTCTGTGCCCCCAATCTGTGCCACAGCCCRGAGCAGCAGATCCCCCAGCACACATGCCCCGAGCAGGCAGAACAGCACCACGGTCTAATGAGCTTTAATAACGCTTTAATAAAGCAAGGGAGCAGCGCTGCAGTCCCTGGGCTGCGCACCGAGCTCCCTCTGCTGCCGGCCCGGAGCCCGGCCCCGAAAAACTCTCCCAGCAGAGGATGCCCACGGTCAGGAAGGGAATAGAGGAACGATGGTGCCCCAGGACCGCTGCCCTCCTCCACACGGCTTATGGGGGGAGCAAGGAAAGGCAGGACACACCAGTAACCCAGAGCCATCTCGTCTGGAGCCCCTGACCGCTGTCACTGAACCACTCAGGAATGGCAGGTTGCTCTTCTAGGGCGGCCACAAACCCCTGTGAAGACCTTGTGGCAACCACAGCCATGGCACGGGAAAGGGAGGGCAGGCAGCACCWGKGMRGAGACTGAGCCACTCSTTCCTCCCAAAACTGAAACCAAAACAGCTCCTCCAACACCCATCGGGTCTTTGTGTGCAGAACCAGCCTGCAGCAGAGCCCCAGGCAGGAGCCAGGGGTGTCCCCAGCGAACCCTCAGCCCTCACAGGGCCAGGTGACAGAGGCGCATGGGCTCCACATTGTCCCTCCCGTCGCTGAAGCAGGTGCTGAAGAAGGGGCAGTAYCTCTCTGCACAGACCTGGTGGAAGGTGAAGAGGTGGGACATGTCCCCAGCATCAAAGAAGGTGACAGTGCCCTCCTGGCAGTCCAGGAAGATGCCCACTTTGCGCGGGGGCTGGCGGGGAGTCAGGCGCACCCAGGGGGTGGTGGTGGCCCAGTACTCGGTCCTGTTCCGCAGGCGAAGTGTCCAGTAGCCGTTCTCTGGGCACAGCTTGACCTTGGCTGCCCGGTCCACGCTCTCAGCAGCCACCCCCAGGTCCCACTTGGTTTTGCTGCCCACCCAGACCTCCCAGTAGTGCCGGCCGCTGTCGAAGGCCTGCGAGCCCAGCACGTTGACGCACTGACGGAAGCGCCGAGGRCTGATGGGGACGGGCTGGGCTCGATTCGTCTCTGTCACTGCTGTCAGGTCTCTGGAGAAGACCAGGTTGGGGTGGGCTGACTCAGGGTCAAAGGTGAGTGGGGCAGGAGCTGTGGAGACATCACCAAGACATTTTACCAGCTGCAGAGCGTGCCTGGCCTGTCACACCCAGCACACCCATCCCTCCCAGCGCTGYGCTCACCGGGGCAGATGGAGCGCAGCATCTGCCTCCAGAAGATGTACTGCAAGGGRCCACTGTGGCTGTCCCTGTAGAGCTGCAGGTCCAGGGCAGGCCGGGTCTCCACACGCACCGAGGGCCTGGGGCAGAGAGAGGCAGCCAGGGTCAGTCCCGCTGCCGAGGGACACGGGAAAAGCACAGGCAGGGCTGCAGGGCTCTGCTGCATGTGACAGATTTGGTAAAGGTGGGACACAAACGTCCCTGGCAGCTGCTTGCTCTGCCTGATGCAGTGAGYGGCTCAGGGCAGCGGTGTCTGAGACAGAGCAGTGACTCCTGACAGCCCCACACCCAGCACACCCAACAGGATCCCACATGGCTGAACAGGCCGGGCCTCTGCAGTCAGGCTGCACCCAGGGCTGGAGGGAGGGGACAGGGACACGCTCCCCATGGCAGTTCTGGCTCTCTGCTACTCCCAGCCTCAGRCAAACCCACTCCTCAGGGTCAGTTTTGCAGCCTCATGAGCAGTAAGAAGCTGAGGAAGGGCAGGGGGAAGACGAAGCACCCAAAGTCTGTGTAATCAGCCTTGTTCCCTCCTGCAGCACACATGGCTCTCACACCCATTCCAAATCACCACATCTCCTCTACCCACTCTTCCAGCCACATCAACATGTAGGATGCTCCCTGGGAAGAGCATCCAGTGTGTGCTGGGGACCAGCCTCCCCCTTGCACAGCAACAGCAACTTCCTGAGCAACTTGTGATGCTTTAAAAACTTGAGATAAAAGTGTCTCTCCCATGTGGTCCCAGYCAGGGACAAAGATAAGCTCCTGAAAAGAGAATCAGCTTCTTTCATGCCAGACACGTACCTGATATCCAGGCTCTCCACCTGCAGTGAGAAGCAGAGAGAATTAGCAGTCACTCTAATTCATGCAGCAGCACAAATAAACTCYTTGTCCTGCCTCCTGCTGCCACACAGCACAAAGAGAAGAAATCAAGCTACCAGGACCTGCACCCTGGGGAAAACGGACCAGGTGCCCAAACAGAGAAGCAGSAAGGCTCCCAGGACCCACCACATCTGACATCACTGTATCCCTTGTTGCTAAAGTCTCCACACTCCAAGGGATTGGCAGATAATCCAGAGGGATGGCAGTGAGAATGACTTCCAGATACAGCCTAGTGCTGCCGCTCCAGTTTCAGATCCTGAAACATCCCTCAGCCTCCTGCCAGGGTCAGCCAGGCACGCTCACCTCCAGCAGTGACACATCTTCCATCTTGCTCAGGGCCTGCCTGACGTGCTCCATGTCCCTGTGCAGCACTGCCATCCCCTCCTCCAGCTGGCCAACATGTCTGTGCAGCTGTGCCAGTGCCTGCTCCTCCTTCTCAGCCAGCTCTGCCAGCACAGCTCTCTCCTCTTCCTCCAGGATCTGATGAAGGCGAGCAAACTCAGCCCGAATCTTGAAGTTCAGCTCCCCAGACACCTTCTGAGCAGAGGGAAGAGGGAGATGAGTCCAACAGTTAAAACACACAAAGTAGGTGCACAGGATGGCTGGGCCTGTTACTCTGCTCAAAGAGACCTGGAAATTTTGAGATTTAGACACAGTCATGACTTTTTGGATGGAGAACAGGACACCAAGGACAACCTTCAAGCCTGCAGAGCCAAAGAAAAAGAAAAAAAMCAACAAACYCAAAAAAATAGCTCCACCAAAGGCTCAGCCACCACAATTAGAAATTCCCACACGCAGCCACAACCCTCTCCCACACSATCAGGAACTTGCCTGTGGGCAAGACTGGAGCTCTTTAAGTTTTGTGGAGCTGCAGACTCAGCTGTTCAGGTTAGTTTGGATTTGTTTCACATCATTCCAGACCCTGAGCAGAGCTGCCTGACGGGYGAGCTGCACAAACTAATCTCTGTCATTAAGGCAGATAAAATCTCATTCAGCTATTTCCAGAGGTCACTTTTTTCCAGTTGTTTACTYGCCAGCCAACCTTGTTGTGTTCTCKCTGCCTTCCTGCCTGTTTACAAGAGACACCCAATGACTTTTTATTTTCCTTATATCTTTAAGCTTTTAATCTCCAAGTGCAACCTTAGCCTTCATTGCTTTCTCAAGGAGTGCTTTCTGAAGCACACATCCCTTTCTCCCCACAGGAAACCCATCTCCCTCAGAGATCTGAAGCTTCTCCARCCTCCCTTTGCTCTAGCAGGTGCTTGTGCTGACACACCAGMAYCACAGAGGAGGTGCAATGCCTCCTKGTTTAGATCAGTGATTTGCTCCTTTACTCTTGAGACACCTCTGAACTCTAGCACAGTAACAGGACAAAACAKGCTTATTTGCTAATACTTCATTAATCTCAAAGGTCTATTCCACATTTGGCAGGAGGACAGAGGTTTGAAATGGTGCAGGCTGGAGCAGAGGCTCCAGTAAGAATGCAGTGTTTTTTACCCCTCTCAGCTTTATCTCATCTCTAAACTACTTCCATTTTCCTTAAACTCACCTTCTTTGGCTTTTAATACTTTTGTGCCACACAASAAAGAAGCAGTCAGCCAGTGGCTGYTYTTGCTTCATGGATCTGTAMRAGCAGGGAGCCTGRTGCCTCTCAAGCCCATGGAGAGCMCTCAGGCCCCTCATTCACCCCTCATTCACCTCAGAGCCTCACAGGGAATCCCAGCACCGTCCTTGTGACAAAGCCACCACTCCCGCAGTGCCAACGCTGCCACTGACCCAGCTCCACTAGCTTTGCTGCCACCCCTTCAGACACACAGAGCATTTCAGAGCTGCCAAGAGTTAATGCTCTCCAAAGAGGCAGCGCTGCAGGGCCTGAAGAGGCTGCCCTGAGCGCTCACCACTCACCAGGCTCAGCTCTGCTGCAGCAATGCACTTTGTAAACACTGCACTAATGAGTGCTAATGCTCCTTTCAAAACCTCCACTAAATACCCAGCTGTGACGGCTTTGGCATATATGCAGGGGAGTTTGCATAGATCCCCATGGTTACTCATGTAGATTCTTACAGGAAGCTGAGCTAAACCTCAGCTGAAGTGAAGCACACATCCTGCATGAACGTGCCCCAGATGCTGCCTGAAGAGCAGCTCCCACAGGGCGTTACCGTCAGGCTGCAGATGTCCTCCTGCGCCGCGCGCTTCCTCTGCTGCAAGCTCTCCATCTCCTTCTGACGAGCTTGCAAAGCATCTTCCAGGTGCTTCTGAAAGAGCAAAAAAAAAAAAAAGAAAGGGGGCCATTTCACCACTCTGCTGTGATTCAGGAGCTATCCCAATTCTTGTGGTTAGCATCAGAAGGAGGCTGCAACAGGATCTCACATAAAGTCTGTAAGGAGAAACAAACACCTGATGCACAGGCTTAAGAATTATGTATGTGTGCATGCAATGAATCCAATTTATTTTTAAGACTGGGAGCTCCAGCCTGGGATATCTGTTTACACAAGCTTTAAATGCTGCGTATTGTAAACTGAGTTGTGCAGAGACTGTCCCCTCAAGCAGAGCACCTGGCACAARCAACCCTCTCCCTGGCCACATGGTCCCTAAGTGGGAAACAACAAAGCTCTGGTTAGAATCACAGCAGTGAGGGAAACAGTTACAAAAGAAAGTGTTCCAAAGACAGACAGTTGTAAGGAAATAGGGAGAGGAATTAATAAGGAAGAGACAAATTGTCAGGTAAGACTTCACAMTGGGGCAACTGCCTGTGGTGGGCTTGTGGTGGCTGCACAGGGCTCATGTGGCACCTGTCCCCTTCTCCCCAACGTGGGAGAAGCCACTCACCTGCATCTTCTGCTGGTGCTCCCCGGAGCCGCAGCGCCGCACCTTCTCCASCAGCCCCGAGAGCAGGTAGTTAGTGCGGAAAGCGCGGTTGGGGAACTTGCGGCGGCACTGGGGGCAGGAGGGGACGTGAGCACAGCTGTCCCAGTACTGCTGGATGCAGCTCTTGCAGAAGTGGTGCATGCAGTCCAGCATGACGGGCTGGCTGAAGAGCTCGCAGCAGATGGCACATGTCAGCTCCTCCCGCAGGCTCCGGTCCTGGCTGCTGCCGGCCATCCCTGCGGGCACACAGGTACCACTCTGAGCTTCCTGCCACCAGCACCCCCAAATCCCCATCCCTCTGCGCTGGGGCGAGCTTCTGCCTCTCCTGTCCTCTGGAGCAGGGTTTCATTAGCAGACCTCGGGCTGCAGGGACAGGACCRGGTGCCGCACCGGGTGTAGGCAGAGCTGGAACCCCCGAAATTACAGAACAGCCCGGCCGAGGGTCACTCCCTTTGCAGGGTAACAACTTTCAGTGTCCAACACTTCAGCAAAACTGCCCAGCGCGTCTGACAGGGCCCGGCCTTGCGTTCCACAGGGCCCCAGCGCAGAGGTCACCCGGCCCGAGGGCTCTCGGCACCCGCCCACATCCCGAGGCGCTCCAGGGCCGACGCAGCACCGGTGCCGCCGTGTGCGGGACCCCTGCGGCTCGAGTCCCGCGGCACCGCCCGCTCCCCTGGGTGCAGCCCCGGTCCCCCGCCATCCCGGGGACCCCACCGTGCTGACACCGCTCAGTTCAGTTCGGTTCGGTTCGGTTCGGTTCGGTTCAGTTCAGCTCAGTCCGGTGCGGTCTAATCCCGTCCCGTTCCCGCCGCTCCCGCACCTCCCACAGCTCCGAACTCGGGGCCTCCGCCACGCCCCGCCCCTCCCTCGGACTGACGCCGGCCCCGACCAATCACCGCCCGGACACGCCGCGTGCACGCCCGCTGATTGGATGGGCTGCGCTGAGGGGGCGGAGCGGAGTCCCGGCATGTGACGCGTTACGCGCGTACGCGCCGGGCCAGCGGTGGGGGTTCCGCGCCGCCTGTGGGAAGGTGCGTGAGGCGCGGGAGTGCACTGGAGTGGGCTGAGCTGAGCTGGACTGGACTGGACTATCCCTGCACTGCCCGTAATCTGCCCCTTAACTGCCCCTGCACCTCCCCTGCACTACCCTTCCACTGTCCCGCACTGTCCCGCGCTGTTCCGCACCGCCCTGCGCTGCGCAGGTGCTGCCCCACTGCTGCGTTTAGTTCAGAGGACAGAAAGAAGCTCCGSTCAAAAGCCTCYCTCTCWCTCCCCTACCCACGGTACCTTCAGAACACAGCTCTGACCAACGCTTTGGGGTCACAGCCTTGGGTTACCTCAGAAATCACAAGGGCTGCCAGGCTTGTTAGCGAAAGAAAGAAACAAGGAAGGGTTTTCATCCTCGTGTGGTCACCTGATGATGGGCCTTGGGGTGTTGTKGGAAGTAGCAGACACTGGTGGACATGTGAGAAAAATCACAAGAACTTTCAATATGGAAGTAAAAGCAAATGATACTGAAAGGAGGGGGGACACAGGGACTCACAAGAGCTGCACGGACCGTCTGTGTCCTAAGCACCCAGAGAACAAGAGCATTCCCCCAAAAGGGTGATGTGCCAGGCACTGTCCAGCTATTGCCCTTATCTTCTTGGTGCTCTGTTTTCTCATTAGAGCAGTGCAATTAGTACAGAAAGTATTTCTGCCCATCTTCATTTGCTTGTCTGAGGGATTTTCCCAGGCYTTCTCTTGCACTGTGCGTGCTTGGTCACTGGCATGTGGCCACAGCAGCCCTGCCTGCAGGCATCAGCCTCTGCCTTGTCCCCAGCAGCCCCTCTGGGTCACACGCTCAGCCACAGCCCCATGCTGATGTTTGGACCTGGCACATCACTGAGTGCATGAGGGGCAATCAGTCCTGGGGGATGTTGGCCATGGGCAAGCGAGGTGCACCCYTTGGCTTCTGGGTGGCCAGGCAAGTGGCATCCGTGGACACCAACAAAATCAGGCCATGGCCAAATGGGCTGGCAGCTCCCACACTGTTCTTGCGTGGGCTCAGGACCTGCTCCTGCCCGCTGAGCGAGGTTGGGGCTGGCTGAACCCTTCACCAATACCCGTGGTGGCAGTGGGACAGGGATGCTCAGTGCCCACTGCTCACTGAGCACTGGGGAACAAGAACTCACTGGGCAGGGATTGTTTCTGGCATGCTGAACCCGCTCCCATTGCTTTTATCCTTTCCACTGCACAGCTCAGCAGAGTTCCCCTGGGATTRTCACTAGGAGGATGACACTGGGACCTAGGGATGACACAGGGATCCAGGGATGCCTGAACAATCTCCTCTTAGCTGTGACTTCATGCAGAAAAACCTCAGTCCCCACATTTAGAGCTTTGTGCTTCCACTAGGCTGGCTCTCACCCTGTGAACATGCCAGGGATGGCCAGGAACAGAGCCAGTGGCAGCCCAGCACAGCAGGAGAGTGGCTGGTGTTGCCTGCCATCCTCCTGCCAGCAATCTCGAGAAACAGCTAGCTTTGAACTTGTGGATTTTGGATGGGAGCTGAATCAGCTGCTTAGGTGCATCCTTTAGAGAGGGAAATGACTTTGTCATCTGTGTTCAGCCTCTGATCTCCTGGCTTTGCCACTTTTCCTCTAGGAGATGTTATAGACTCTGCACAGACACACAGAYGATCAGACAAGATGCCAGCACAGGACACACAGCCAGGATGATGCTCCCTCACCTGTTGTAGCACCACAATCTATCATTTGTGAGGCTCTGCAGAGAGGTAAAAGCATCGATAATTGCTTTTTAGCAGAGAYCTGGAATGTGCTGTGAAAAATTATGTTCCTCCAGCATCCCAAGCCAGCAGTGCTGGAGATGTCCCTGTGAATCAGCTCAGCTGTGAATCAGAATCAGATGTCCCTGTGCTGTGGTCAGAGAGCTCACCCTCCCTGTTACAGAGCCCAGGAGGGTGAGAGTCTCCCTGGGGTACCTGTAGACCCATTGTTTGGAGAGCCTGTAGCAGGATAACTGAAGCTTCACCCTGAAACAGCAGAGTTTGGGATAGCTTCTCTTTTAGCCCCACTGGAGCCTAGTCCTGGTCCCTCTGAGCACTGTGMACAGCAGGAGAATCCCCCTGGCATGGCAGCAGACACCCTGGCCAGGACTGGCATGGGGCTGTGGGATGCTGCTCTCATGGAACAGATGCTCCACACCAGTGCATGGAGCTGGCAGCTTGGTCCMGCTGCTGCAGGACATCCTACAGCACTCAACAGAGTCCTGGAGCCCCTGATGTCTTGCTTTACCCAAATAACTCCCCTTGCTGCCAACAAAACCTATCACCCATGTAAAATTGCTTATTTCYATCTTTGCAGGTTTGAGCTGTAAATGCAGATTTTGGAGCCAAAGGAGGAGTGGCATCATTTTACCATGTGCTGCACTAATCCATCAGTCCAAGAAGAAAGTTCTAACTCAGATAGGGAGGTCCTCGTCATGGCCATTTCACTTTCTGGGACATCARCTACAAGGTCTAAAACCAGCAGTGAGTGGCAGTCATTTCCCAATGAACACGTCTCCCTTCTGGGGATTGAAAACACACACCCAAGCGTCCCCCGGTCTCAGATTCCTGTTTAAGTGCTCCTGGCATCTCCTTCCTTTCAGCACTCACTTCAGYTGGCAATGTAATGTTTTTCTTTCTTTTTTTAGCATATCCCTCTTGGGAGGCTCCAAGCTCTGGGCTGAGACCTGAGAACACTGTGTTTGGAGAGTTTGATTATGCACTGGGGAGATGAAGGATAACGTGGATTGGGAAGGGTTTGGCTCAAAGCACATGGATTGGCTCCAAAACCCTTCACCGTCCTCTGTTCCATGCAGTAAATCTGTATTCTTGGAGATGGGTGTCAGAGGAGCTGTTTGGCCTTGCAGGAGGAGGGGGTGAAATGGGAAGTGTGGTGGGTCCAGCTGCTGGGAAGCTTCTCTGGGGTCTCAGCAAAACAGGAGGGGAAGGAAAAGCAGCTGCTGATGCAGTGTCAGTCCCTTGTGTCTGCTCTCCAAATGCAGGCAGGAAGCTCCACAGGGGACAAGAAGCTTTGCATTTTGATTTCCCTGTTTGATTTCCCTGTTTCCCTTTGGTTTGAGTGCAAATACACTCTGAGGACTTTGATTCCTCTGGATCCTGCTCTCCTGGAGTCTCTCCTGGAGGATCCTGTGGCTTTCCCGGAGCAATGCTCAGCTGTGGGGCAGGGGAGGGGCAGAGGGGTGAATTGGGGCTGAACTTTTCCATGTGCTGACCTGGACAAGCCCAGGGGAAGGACTCTGTGGGTGTGAGGATGGGGCAGCCTGGAGCCAGCCCTTCACACTGCCCTTGGCATCTCTGGTCAGGAAGGAGTGGGTGCTGCAGGTCCAGGAGAAATGCCCAGACTCCCCATGACCCCAAAAGCAGGCTGCACCCCAGGAAGCTTTGCTTCTGTGTGCTCCTGACAGCTCTTTCCTGTGCTGAGACCAGGAGGGGGAAGAAGTGGAAAGRGATTGCTGTATTAGAAAGGAAAGAGTGAAAGAAGGGATGAGGTAAATTAAGGTAACAGCAGCATTACTGCTAATGGATATTACACTTCTCTCYGTGACCTCAGCTGCAGGGACATGATTTAGAGGCCTCGGTTAGAAAGGCGAGCAGGAAATGAAGCAATGCTCTGAGATATGGTATCTTTGGATAAATAGCTGTAGGAGGAAAGTGACCAGAGATGGCCATTATTTGCCATTATTTGCCATTATTTGCCATTATTTGCCATTATTTTCTTCCCAGTCCTAAATGATATCACTGTTTTGCTGAAGCCATGCCCTTCAAGGCTGGAGCCTCTGTAGACATCTGACCAGCCCCAAATATCCCCATGATCCATATAAGAGCCCTGTGGAGATGGCAAGAGGTGTTGAGCAGGTTCAAACCGTCCCAAACATTCCATGAAAGGACCCAGGGAAAGTAAGGGCACAAGTCTGAAGGTTGGTGTTGTTTTTTCCCTCATGTATCCAGGAGCAGGACTGGGGATCAGCATGGATAAATCCATCTCCTACTACATGGAGGGAGGGAAACAAGGTCTGGAAYAGGCAAAGGAAGATGCACACAGCCTAATAATGGATTTTAAATCTCTTTTCCCCCAGGAATGCTCAAATAACTCAATCCCAGCTGACCAGTTTCATGTGCTACTGAACTTAGTAGTCCAGTTTGCCTCCCCAGGACTTCTTGTGTGAGCTA